CACAGGAAACACACTGTAATGTGGTGGGGATGTGCTGTTTCTGTTTTATCATGTGTATTTTCAAACAAAAGGGAAAAGTGAACGTATTGGACTCTGTGTACCCATCTCTGATTCAACAATTGCCGATCTTTGCTATATTTTACTTCTGTTCCTGTATATACATGTATTTCTAAACCGTTGAAGACAATATGTTTCATCCCTAAGTATTTCAGCATTCATTGTCTCAGAATAAGGGCATCCTTCTAAACAAACACAAATCCACATTACAACCAGAACGTTTGCAACTAGAAAGTTAACAGTAATTCTGTAACGTCATAAAATACCCAGCCATATTCAGGTATCCTCAAATGTCCCAAAAGGTCTTACACTTTTCAAAACCAGGATTCAAAGATCATACATTGCATTTCATTTTCTGCCTTAGTTTTTTAAAATCTGAAACAGTTCCTTCATCTCTTTTTTTTCTCCTCACAGCACTGACTTTCTGAAGAGGCCAGTCCAGTTGTCTTAGATGGCCCATCACTCCAGAATGGCCTCACAGACCACAGTTAGAGACACACTGTTCCATCTTATTTTCAGGGACTCCAGTAACTGTATGTGTATTAGATCTTTGCCTCTTATAATTATCACTTTCTTTCTGATTTTTCTATTTACCTCTTTGTTTCATTATCTTGACTCTTTTCATTTCCATCTTTCATGTCCCTTACTTTATTTTTAATTATATATTTTCTTCCTTAGATACCATTTGTCTGCACTTGTGAGATGTTTTTGTCTTCAACTTTTTCCCCTGGTTTCAGTTAGCAGGCATTCTATATCTTCATGTTGTTTGTCCAAATCTGAGTCTTTTAATTTGGATTTTTCTTTCATTTCTGCAATTATTTACTTATGTTTAATTAGTTACTAGTTTTTGTGTTAAAGAATTTGTTTTTTTCTATTTTCAGCATTTTCACCTGAAATTTCCTCATTTTCAATTTTGTCTTTGTGACTTTGACTGTTATTTTTTGGAGGGGTGTGTGTGTGTGTGTGTTTTTT